ATTAGGCGCAAAGGTAAAATTATAAACCTGAAATTCTCTTTCTTACCTCCAGCAACAGCAGTTACTCGTGATTATACAAGATTGTTGAAAGTGAAAATGTAAACTTTTTAAATCCGTTTAATGTACACTAATAAGAATTTTTCGCCGACAAGAGCACAACACGTCCTCTCTTTTCAAAAGCAATCTTTCGACTGATCGATTGACGCAGTTATTTTCCTTTTGTGACGCCTGCTCTCTTTATGACATACTTCAACTTCGCGCGCAGTAATAATTTGCTCGCGCTCTGACAAATTAGTTACCACTCAGAAAAGTCGCAAAACTCCAAAATAATTATGAGGAAAAAAAAATTCAAATCTAGTTCATTCTAAGTTATGACTATAGTAAATGGGAAGTAGTCGTGATCTAGAGACGATTTCCCTTATCTCTCCACATTTCATTTCAAACCGCGCGCTTTAAAATACTGAAATTGAACGGCTGCTCGCGCATGCGTCCGCAAACATCTTAGGGCGAGGTTTGTGAAGCTAACACAGAACACACCGCAAAAAAAGGGACGGAAATGCCTTCGCGAACAGAAACAGATCCATTCTTAATAACAGAAGTTAAGAATGAAGCTTACGGCCAATCATAAAATTGATCTTTTGCCGTCTCTTCGGTTTTTAGCCGTTTGTACACTTTGGAGATAAAATTTGCATTTTCTGTGAATAAATCTTTTTTCCGCTTTTATGTCGGATTGTTTTAGGATTAGAAGAAAAGACGACAAAACCTGAGGTTGTTTTATCATTTTTGCCACATGTCGGTTGCCGTAAACTTCATTCTTAAGGCTGGTCTCCATATAATCTAGCGTTTAATTCCCTACGCCTACCAGTTTCCATGGACCCTTGGCATATCTGGCGCCTAAATTTGAATAACGGTACTTTATGTACCTTAACCTCGTACTCGTGTTTCCAGACACAGGACCTTTCACATGAATGCGTGGCTAAGTATGTATAATAAGTGATAATAAGTATAATCGATAAAAGTGCACTGACTTGCATATTTTAGCAAGACGTTTCGGCTAACTCTTAAGCCTTCATCAGTTGAAAAACCGCTTGAATAATTGATAATAAGTATTGTTATTCAAATTTAGTTGCCATTTATGCAAAAGGTTGTTAGCCTGCGTAGCTGGCGGTATTGTAGGCGCGCCGAATAAAGTTTTGGCGGCGGAGCCGCTAAAAGCGAGCGGCGCTCGCTTTGCCACTCGCGATTAGCGGCTCAGCCGCCATAACTTTATTCCGCGCGCCTGCAATACCGCCACAAAACTTTATTCCGCACGCCTACAATATCGTCAGCTACACAGGCTACGGCTTGATTGATCACAAAATTAAAGAAATGCCCGACAGGAGCTGGATCTAACGATACACTGCATTCTGGTATATATTTGATCGCAACCATC